TCTCGAGGTTCCCCTACCCCACGCAACTGGGCGAGCACCAACTTAATCGCATATGACACAAAAAGACCGATTAAGTGCAACGTGTGCATAGGTGTCCACAAGCTTGTTGACTGCCCAGAGTTTTTGGCAATGAAGTTGATGGACCGCTGGACAGTAGCTAAATGGACAAGGTCCTGCTTTGTGTGCTTGAGCAATACCCACAGAGCAGCCCTTTATAGAAACCGAACCAACTGTGGTCAAGACAATTGCCGGGTTCGGCATCACCCCTTATTACACCACGATGAAGGAGTAGAGCAACGAACGAATAGCGGCCGGATCGATAGAGTCGACAAACACGCTGCGGGGGATACACCTAAATCTGTCTGCACTATCGGACGGGTGTCAAGTGGGCCGGCCCGCTTGGGAATAATACCAATCCAAGTGAAAACTCCGCATGGTATGTTGCAAGCAGTGGCGTTTCTAGACAATGGTTCGGATACCACCCTCACGAGAGAGTTTTGCACGAGAACACAACCTGTGTGGACAAACTACTCCATTGGTAATCAGCACGGTGAATGGGAAACGAGCAGTTCGAGCTTCTCAACTCAGTTTGAAGTTAGCTCCCACATCGGGGGAAGATACGATAGAGATGCACCATGCGTTTACTATCGCCGAATTACCAATGAGAGCTTCCGAAAGTATCCGGTCGTTAGCGCGGCGCTGGCCTCACCTCCACGATCTGCCGTTTGAAGATGTTCCGGACACCCGAGTAGACATATAAATCGTCTGTGATGTACCCGGGGCGCATTGGGTTCTGGACCAAAGGGTAGGAGGCCGTAGAGATCCATATGCTGTGCGCAGCCTTGCCAATAACAGACGCGACTCCTACTACATCCGAATCGCGCATCATCGGACGGTCGCGGAATTATCAACCGTGCTGTAAGCCGGACAAACGTACGGCTCGATCGGTCTACCGGCGAGATCGAGCCAGAATCAGGACAACCATAAAGCCGAGGCCTCTACGTTCTGGAAGATTGGATTGGATTGGTCACCCTTGCCTGCCAAAACTGCGCCTCTACCTGTGCTAACCAGAACTCCGGGTCTTCGGGGATGAACTCCGGAATTCTAGCCACTAGACTACTGACATGGGGCTATGGTGCTGCCTAATGTTGACTTCTGCGCTTATTTGATTGTCGCTGCCTGAGGCTTGCATTATGTACGTAAGAGATGAGTAAATAAAAAAATGCACAGGTTATATATGTCGGCTCAATAAAAGTCATAAAAATGAATCTAAGGTTATACCAGTTTTAATCAAATGGACTGAACGATTGGAGTAATCTAAAGGTATTACCGAAACTAAAACGCATGAGAATTGTAAAAAGTAAAAGTATCACATCGGACTCACTAATTTAGTCTCTATGCAAATGATGTCCACGAAGTCGTATGTGTAGCAACGGACGAAGTAACGAACCAAAACAGAACGACTGGTATCACGAAATTTCAACGACGGTTGTATTGGAATGAGCTGGAGAACAGATAGAGAGAAGGGTACACGTAAGTAAACGTGCAGAAAGAGAAAGTCAATGTATTGTATTGTATTGTATTTGTAACTTTTGTAAGCATATATGCTTACATTTCATTTAAAAATGTACATTGTTCGTCGCTCAGAATGAAATAAAAATAATCAAAACAAAAGGTTTACAAGGTCGGTGATATACGTATCATGTACAAAGCATTTGATGTAGTTCATCTGAGACCTGTTCCTTTTTGGTGAGTAGTCAGGCCAGGTAAGGTACAGGGGAATTGTGGTGATTCGGATCTACGAGATCACGCCTGCCCTGGATCAGCGCGGTACAGTTTCCGGACATTGGTAGTCAATCGACCTTGAGCGCTGACGCCAGTAGCACGTGCACAGTCTCCGGATACACGTCATCGGTGCACCGTTCCGGCCAATTAAATACAATGCAGAGAAGAGCAATATGACGCAAGATGTGGTGCAATATTATTGGTGGAAACTAAGGTAGCCAATGATCTTTTCTTGTTTACATATGTATTCACTTTCATTTCCTTCAATAGACGACTTTGTGATTCGCCTGTTTTGTGGCTTTTTTCTTCGCGTCTCGATCCTGCGGGTTATTGCGAGTTCGAGCCATTGCGGTCTAGTGCCATCAGATTTCTAATTCATGTTCCGTTATTCCTATTGCGTAGTTCGTGTCCTGAATTCTGTGCGTAACTTCATTACTACTACTTCTACTATCATTACAAATTGGCCTCGCGCAATGGAGCTTCCAAGTATTGAACAATTGAACCTGCAAGCCAGTCCATCCGAGATCGAGGAGTGGGTAGAGCGATTCGATTTGTGGTGCAGTATTCGAAAAGGTGGTGTGCAAAACCAATCCGCCCTATTTCTCGCTACTGGCGGCCGTTATCTGTATCCACTGCTGAAAAACCTGGCATTTCCCGAGGTTTCCGCCAAACTACCAAACGAAACCTTGAAATCGCTCCTGCTCATCACCTGCTGCCTACTGAATTCCAAGCCCATGAACGTGCTAAATGCAATTCCATGATCCTTGCCGACCACATGTCTTGCCGTGATTTCATCCTGCAGCTAAACAGACAGGCATCACGCTGCAACTATGGCGATCGTTTGGAAGAACAGATGTGTGATCTTTTGGTAGCGGGCATCAACAATCTCAGTCTACAACGAAATTTCTGGAGAAGAAGGATTTAACTTTTGCCGAAGCCCGGAAAAATTGTGAACAGCATGATGACTTTTACTATCATTTCAGGAATTTTTATAAATATTATTGCGAGAGGGTAGCTGTCGAAATGAGGAGCGTGTGGACGGATGGGAACTACAAGACGTTAGTTCAGGGTGTAGTGGATGAAGAGGGTCGTCTAAAATCTTGTGAGCAAATTTAAAACAACAGTTGATGTGACCATCAATGAGATCTGTGATTAATAAATCAATTGGGATTAGTGATGCACGACTGATTATCACCAAACCGCGGTGAATTGTTTTGAAGTCGCATTTTAAAAGACCGGGAAACACTACAGAAGAGCGATAAAGTAGAATGGGTAAAACGCATTGATTAAAGAAAGATGACAGGACTGATTGTGGGGCGCGGAATTGCCTGAGTTTGCGTAACTGAAAAGATAGGCGTCTCAGTTTTCCCACACAATTGTAAATATGTGTAAACCAACGAAGATTGCTGTCGATGGTGACACCCAGGTACTTCACTGAGGTCATTCTAGATACAGGTTCACCGTTAGAAATAGCAGAGTCCGTTGGAAATGGGGAGCGGGAAAGACTGGCAATACACTCTACGCACTTAGATATGTTAAGAATGAGACCAGATTGGTCAGAAAACTGTTGGATGTGAGATAGGTTTTCAGTAAAAGCATTATTTTACTGAAAACCTATCCGAGGGAGATGAAATTGTCTGAGATAAAACTACATCACCAGCATACTTTTGGATCTGCGCAGGAAATGGAACCGAAATATCACTAACAAAGGCAGAAAAAAGATATGGAGATAGAACAGAAGCTTGAAGAACACTAGAATTATTACCAAGAGGTTTTGATATCTTCCTTCCTAATTTGGTGCACTGGATCCTCGGTGTAAAATAGTCGGCAAGCTATGAGAGCAGCTGTTTTGGAGTGCCAAAAGATTCAAGTTTGAAAAGAAGGGATGATCGGGAAACAGAAACAAACGCAGACGAATAGTCAAGAAAAACACAACGGACAGACTTGACCGAATGGTTCAATGACTTGCAGACACTAGAATGGATACGGCGTCCAATGTAGACCTGTTTGGTTTATATGCAAACTGAAGGGAGTCATAAGGAATTGTGGTGTCTGACTGCAACCGACTCAGGATGGCTTTTTNTCATCATATTGGTTAGGGAAGCTGCTTCGAATTTCAGAAGTGCCGGAGGAAGACCATCACGGCCTGCAGTTGAGGATGCTCTACAGGATCGAAGAAGCTTAAAGATTAAATCATTGGTAAAAGGCACTGAACTGGATT